GCCGGCGATGGCCAATCCCGGCGGAGCCATCGTCGCCGGTGGCGATCGCTGAGGGGCAGCCATCGGAGGCTGGTTGGACGGTGGTGACGATGGAGGCGTCGATACCGGAGAAAGGAGGCGGCGACATAGCCGACTTGAGCTGCGACTCGATGCCGTAGTAGAGTGCTTCATCGGCAAGCTCTTGCTTGGAGAATCGGCGAGCCGTTGAAGGCAGACCGTTCGATCGGAGAAGAGACAGGATGACGGAGAAGATCTCCGGGTCCCGGTCTATGAAAACCGGGTTCGGGTCGTCGGTGGAGCGGTTCGATAGGGCGGCTAAGAGAGAGTCGGGTCCGCCGGCCTGCATCGTTGACAAGGTGGTTTCGAAGAACTTGCCGCCGACGTTGAGCTTGATGCGGTCTTCGGTGCAGGGCACAAGGGCAGGATGGGAATTTCCATTGTCCATGTTAATGGAAAAACGAAGGCCGCGTGAGGTTGAAGATGTTTTTACGGTCTTCAACTTCACCGGGACTTGGAAGCTGAGAGGCAAGCAGGAGATGGGGAAACTGACGACAGTTTGACGCTTATCTTGACACAATTACCCTTCTTCCATCATGAAATTAGTCAATGCTTGCCGGCTTTTGTAGTTAGGTGCAAACTGAACATAAAGCCCTTTTTGGTCATTTCGTTTTTCCGGGTATGGGTTCTGGACTTTGGATTGGGCCAACCTACAAGGAAGCCCAAACATGAGAAACCAACCTTTTGATCAATAAGGCTATGGTCCACGTAGCTTTTGATTGGGCTGTATATAGAATATACGGTCCAGTGTACAAAAATATACAAATGAGACGTACGTATTTACTTATGCGTGGCCTTTTTGTTTTTGTTTTTTTTTGGTCGAAGAAAGATGATGATTCATTACTAAAGAAAGCTCCAAAAGGGAGACCAGTACAATTAGTAATAAAACAGCCCATGCAAACACAAACGCATGAAACCAAAGATACCATGCCACAAACTAAACTGATCAAGATGAAAAAGAATATGACAGACAGTCCAAATGCAAGGACATCAAAAACGATATCTAGATCAGTCGCAACCCACTTAGGAGAGATAAGGGCAAGGAAGGCCATCCTTACTTAGAATGGGCACAAGAGAGGTGGAGGTGGGGGGGTCTTTTAACCCAAACTTCCATACTCCTCCTCAAAAGTGCCAACGATGCAAGATTGTCCGCCGCTTGATTGCCAATCCTATTAGTCCAATTCTATGAACACTCCTTAAATACCCGTTATTCCTCATGGACGAGGGTAAGGATGGTATAAAGGTCCTATCTCTCTGCCAATGTTCCATTTGACACATTTAATTAGCTCCAAAGAGTCAGACTCAAAGCATACCTTAGTGAGATTTCATTCTCTTGCAAATTTGCATCCCTCCAAAAGAGCAACTGCCTCCGCATCCAATGCAGTCTCTGCATGGAAAGAGACAGATTTTGCCCCCCTAAAACTCCCCTCAGAGTTGCAGATTATAATGCCAACCCTCGCACGGCAAGAGCCCTGATGCCAAGCAACGTCGACATTGATTTTGGCAAGATAAGCGGGAGGAGCAATCCACCTAACTTATGGAGTTTGACGGTTATTCCCCAAAGTGGGATGAGTAATTTTTGCTTTAGTAATAACCGTCTGTTCACTTGGTCTGAGATAGATTTGAGAGCCCTTTGGGGATGAAGGTTGCAGTTGCCAAAGACCGCCTTATTCATAGTTTTCCATATAGTCCAGGACATGAGTGCAATATGATCCAGAACACGGTTTCTCTCCTCCTTGGTGTTAATTCTCATAGTAACACAATCTCGCAACCACTGATGCAAAGTGGAGATGCCATGCTTGTCGATTCTATAGTTTAAAAGGCCTCCAAACCATACCGGCTCGACCCAAGGAAGAAAATGAGCATATTTTCAATAGATTCCTCCTCATCATTGCAAATAGGACATAAAGGAAAGGGTCGCAATTTCTTCTTATGTAGGACAGAGGAGACAACAATGTGACCATTTAGAGCTTTCCAAAGAAAATGTCGAACCTTTAGTGGGACGTCGGCATGCCAAATCAACTTCCAAACCTTTGAGTCAATCAAGATAGATTGAGGTGTTCTTCTCAGGGAGGTCCACTAATGAGAAGTGTGAATGTTGTGATAGCCAAATTTTAACGAGTACTTTCCGTTTTTCTGGCTCAGCCATACCAAACAATCCACTTCCAAAGTGATGCCAATGGGGATGCGTTGGATTGCATTAGTCTCCTCAGTCAAAATTAATAGGCGAATTGAGTCCAGATTCCATGATCTAGTATTCCAATCAATTATGGTCTCCACAGTAGTGCTTCAGCCAATGGTTGTATCTGGATATGAACTCAATTCCCCTTCATGAATGTTGGTAATCCACTTATCTGACCAGATCGCGCTTTTGCACCATTCATAATTTGCCATCTTGCTCTATTTAGGATCACCCTTCTACCTTCAATAAGGCTGGCCCATGCCCACGAATCCATGCTACCTTTTTTGGCCTCGAGAAAATTACAATTCGGATAGTAGCGAGCTTTGATTAGCTAAGCCCATAAGGATTCAAGTTCGGTAAGCAGCAGCTAGCATTGTTGAGCAAGTAAGGCGAAATTGAAGTCATGAAAATCACGGAAGCTCATGCCGCCATCATGCTTGGGCAAACCCAATTGAGCCTAGCTAACCCAGTGAATCTTTTTTTCCTCATGTTTCTGAGCCCGCCAAAAATTGGATATCTCCATCTCCATCCTTGTGCAAAATGTTTTGGGGAATAAGAAAACTCTCATTGGATAAGTCAGAACGGCTTGCTCAACGGCTTTGATGAGAACTTCCTTTTTGGCTTGGGAGAGAAGTGATTGTTTCCATACACTAATCTTACGCAATAGCTTCTCCCTTACAAATTGCAAAGCATCTCTCTTTGACCTCCCCCACATTGTTGGGAGGCCCAAGTAATTACCAGGATCCTTCACCGCAGACATGCCAAAGGTGGCCCATAATTCAGTTCACAGGCTTGCTGGTGTTTGGACTGAAGAAAATGCTAGACTTCCCAAAGTTGATTTGCTGCCCAGACACTTTACAATAGTCATCCAGCAAGCGCTTCATGATGTGGCAATTTTGAGTAATGGCCTTAACAAATAGGAGAGTGTCGTTTGCGAAGAGGAGGTGAGAGAGAGTAGGTCCGTTCCTTCCAAAATTGAGGCCCTGGAAATAATTAGCTTCACTTGCTTTCTTAATCATGAGGGATAAAACCTTACTTACAATCAAAAACAGGTATGAGGAAAGTGAATCTCCCTGTCGGATTTCCCTTGTTGGTATAAAGCTATTCCCTACTCCCCATCGAGAATAATAGAAAACTGAACAGTCCGAACAAGATTTATCAACAAGTTCACCCATCTTGCATCGAAACCCATCTTAAGCATGACTGATTCAATGAAAGGTCATTCCACTCGGGCAAAAGCCTTGTTCATGTCAAGCTTGATGCCCAAGTCGTACCTTTTTTATGTCTTTCTCAGTTTCAGAATGTGGAAAGCCTCATGAGCGATTCAGATATTCTCCTGGATTTGACGATTGGGGACAAACGCATTCTGCGCAGAAGATATCATTTGTGGCAAAAACACCTTCAATCTATTTGCCATGACTTTTGATATTATTTTGAAAGAGAAATTACATAGATTAACTGGGCAAAAGTGGGAGACACCCTCAGGATTTGGAATTTTAGGAATTAACACAAGATTGGTGTTATTCAAGGATGCTACGTTTCGGTTGTTGACAAAGAAATCTTCCATAATACCGTGAATTTCATTGTGAATTATATCCCAATATTTGTGTAGAAAACAACTTGATATCCATGCAAATACTGTGGCCTATTTGAGGAGTGCACAGCCCCTCCATGCTTTTCAAACGACCGTAGAATTCTTTGAGAAACCCTTCACCTCAAGTTCAATGCTCTCATCCCACCATAGACATAAATGTCCAGCACTGCCAATTGGGAGAACACAAAATTCCTTCTAAAAACCACAACTACGCTTCAATATTTCAGTTCTGCTGTTTTTGGATTTTGGAAACTTAAAATTACATACCATTTATCGAATTATATTGATCTGACAAGAGTACAATTGGTCGTGCATTATGGCATTAAGATTAAAGGGATGGTAACATCATCACATCACATGCACGTTGATGATCCCCCACACACGTACAATCAGATTAATCAATCTGTAGAGCCCCTCCCTGACCTACGTAGTTAAAAATATACTTTTGTTGTGTTTGAAGAGATCGGCGAATGAGAGAGCTGGCTAGCGAGCTGCTCATCAGACTGGGGTAAAAGGCAAAGCAATAGTCACCGCCAGAAAATTGCTTTTATATATATATATACATATATATATATATATATATATGGAAATGCACCTAACTGGTTGTGAATCTAATGCTAGCTAGTAGCTACTAATTATTAAGAGCATCTACAATGGGCTCCCTAAACCATCTCCTTGGACAAATTTTAGGGAGGAATCGTAAAAATGCAACTCCAACCACACTCTCTATCCACCTCCTAAAATAGGGAGTTCTCTAGGAGCTCCTAAATCTGAGGAGAGAGAAATGACTTCTAGTGGTTCCCTATAATTTAATGCTGCTTTATTTAATGAGTATTTCAAACATTTATTTAATGCTAATTATTTTTTATTTTATTTTATAATAGAGATTGACCAATTAAAAAAGAATTAAAGCATTTATGATTCTTCAAATTATGGAGTATGGTTGGAGTTGAAATTTTTTAGAGAGCTCCTAAAATAGCTTTCTTATATTCTTAGCCAAATTTTAGCTAAGAAATAGAGAGCATCATTGTGGATGCTATAACCAAACCTTAATAATTTAACGGTACTTCCTCTCTAAATTATTGCATACCCCTACTTTAATAAATTAATTGAGTATGCAGACGCACCAATCTTATCATGCATGGTGGGTCAGGTCCCCATGAATTTATGCATTTACTACGTTTGAATTATGCATATGCAACTACCCAAGGTTTCCACTACATTTTCCAATTAAATGAGTCAAAGGCTTAGCTAGCTAGCTTGTGGGCTGATGCTTCACATGCATATGATATGGCTATGCATGTGAAATTTAAGGCTAGTACGCAGAGATTTGTGGGCAAGGTTCCAGCAGCCATGGCACGCCAGATTGGACAAAAGATTAGTTGCAATAGGGATAGCATTGTTTTACTATTCTTAATTAATAATATTATATTATATAAAAGCGTTATTGTCATATTGTTATTGACCGGAATAGCAGAATAATAATATCATGTTTCATGGAAGTCTTTCTTGAGAGGTAGCAACCTTCTATGACCATCTCTTTTAGACTTTCTCCCTTTTTAGCTTGACATGTATCATTTTCCTTACACTTAAAACAATGTCATTAATATAGAGTGGTGATTTCCCCACTCCTTTTTCTCCTATTTTATCCACTTACATTCCTTTTTTATAACTAAAAAAGGAGTGTAAGTAGATGAAATAGGAGTGGGGAAATCATTGCCCTTAATATATTATACAAGCTAACTTTTGCT